TATAATTAATTTACTCGTTGATGGTGATCCTGTTGACTGAAGTAAAGTTTTAACATTAATTTTTTTATCTAAACCATTTAGTCTGATTTTTGGTTGTGATTGTTGGTGTGATGAACGTAATGTTTTTTTTTGATTTGTAATCTTAAATGTCAAAGAATTGATGAAAACATAGCTAAAACAAAACAACTATCATATGAAGTATTATATGATATAAAAGTAATTGTAAAATTATAAAGTGAATCGAAATATAAATCAAATAACTTCGATTTCAATAATGTACAGTCATTAACAAACGATAGTGTACAATTAATACAAAAATTTGTAGCAGTTCATCAAAATTTACCTAAAATATGTCAATTTGATAGTGATAAAGAGGGAAAAGAATTATTAAATATGATATGTGTTGAATCAGTTAAGATCGAAATTTACAAAGTTGAGTATATAGGGGATCAACCAGAAACGGTAACACACAGTGCCTGGTTTATTGGAAAAAACTGGAATAATTAAATTCAAATTATCAATCCAAAGAATAAGGAAATAATTTTTGACGGAAAATCAGAACCGTTGGAAACATTTACATACGAAGACTACGTTAAAGATTTATTTGTTCACTCAATCAAAATACCAGCAGATATTACTGATAAATCAACTGAAATTTGCACGTTAAAAATTACTGGCTGGAGCGAAAAATTGGACCGAAATGGCAGTTATTCATTTAACATACGACAATATATGGCCACCAAAGCAACAGAACATAGAGATAAATTTTGGAAAGTATCGCTTAAGTACCATTTATTTGCGGCTTACTCCTGAAATAGCGATTCAGTCATTGGCTTCTGAAGAACTTGCAGATAAAGAAAAATCAACAACCGCAACTGCTCCTGAAAAAGCAGACATAACAACACTAGAAACAGTAACAACAGTAACAGCAACAACTGATCGATATACAATTTTGAAAATGAAATATCAAGAGTTACAACCAGTTGAAAGAAGTCGAAATCTTACAGACTTCTTTATAAAGTTGAGAATAAAACTGAAAGAAATTGAATCGAAGTCCATTGCACACTATAGTAAACCGAAACTACCATCGTATACTCCAGTTCCAAACAGCGACGATATTGCACATGCACAATCACTTCCACTGTTTGGGATGAGAGAAGATCGACGCATATTAATTTCAACGTCACCAACGACGCATCATCTTCTTATGGAACAATTACCAAATCAATATGAAATATTGAAATCATCTATAAGCCTCACAATTGATACATTAAAGGAAACAATTAATCCTAATGAATTCAGTATTATAAATCAAAGTCTTAGCTTTGAATTTAGTTCGGCTGATAATTTAAAACAAGAAATTGAATTATTCAAACAGATATTTAATTTTGATAAGCTAAATGCTCTTTTAATGAAATTAGATGATATGTCGAAGAATATTCAAAAGTCTCTTAAATCCAGTCAATCATTTCAGCGAATACTTCATGATTCAACATATGATTTACAACGACTTGGTTCACTGATACAATTAACTGAAACTAATGGGAAAATATCAGATGAAAAAGTAAATAAAATTTATACAAGTAAAATGTTGACATTGTTAAAAGATGCATTAGAAACAATACAGTTTGAATTAGACTATGGATCAAAAATTTATCGAATATTATATCAGGTTGAATTACGTTTAATGCAAATGATTGTTCATTCTCTAGATACACAAGAACAATGCGATTTGGCTATTGATTTGATTGGAAAAAAACAAAATTATTTAATAAATCAAAAAGAACAGCAATATATAGTTAACGAAAAAGAAATGGATAATTACAAAACAGCTTTAGATGAAACGATAACATTTATTCATGATCAAAGAAAAACATTACGTTCATCACACCAACAATCACAACCAAAAATCAGACTAAATGGTTTAGATAAAAAAATTAATGTTAAAACTTTACTTCAGTCAACAGGATCACCATCAACGAGTAAATTAATTATA